GTATATAAACTTTAGTATTATTTCTATATTTGTTTAAATATTTAGTTAAACATTTTGTAGAATATTTTTCATTATGTTTAATTTTGCCGCTATTTCAATTCTGCTTAAGTTATGTCATTTTTTATTAGATAATGCTATTGAATAGATTATCTAATTGTGTTAATGTATAATTTTGACTTTTTTATTGAAACGGTTTTAGTTATATAATTATTTTTTTTTTAAATAATTAAGTTGATTTATCTGAGACTTTGACACATGATATAGCGATAAATAGTTAATGGAAAGAATGGGAAATTTGTTGAGGCGGAATTGGGTATATAGGACGTCTGATACAAGGGTATAAGGAAAATTACAGAATAGTTTAGTCAGCGTGTACGAGCCAGAATCGCAATAAAACCGATCGCATTACAAGCATTCGCACTTAGAAATTTTATTGAACGCCGCTTCTCGAGGATGAATTTATCTTAAGCGAAAACCCGGAAACTTCCGTTTTCTACCACCCACCCCGATTAACGACACTATTCCAACAAAAGTTTTCTATTAATAAAACGTTAGATTCCTGTTCCATTTGACCGAGATACAGGAAAGTCGTTCGATCAATCGGTAATTGCTACGTTAAAAGCCACGCAAAGTAGTTTCAACTGAAAACGTATGTTTGATACTATTTAACACTGGTATTAATAATTTTCTCGAGGCGCTAAAACGTCGGAAAACTATTAAGACGCTTTTCTTACACTTATTCTTTATTTCGCATTTTCCTCGCTCGTTCTGTGTATGTATTTTACTTCTTTACTCGTTTCATTTTCTTGTTTCACATCCCCGCAACCCCCGGACCAGTGTTTCGCTCCTCGTCCGGTCATAAAAGTAGAATATTGTTTGTGCCAAAAAGTTTTCCAGCAACTTTTTAAAAGCTTCTCCAGCAACACAACGTATTCCTTCCCGTTCCTTTCACACTCCTCCATCCTTCTTCCTTCCACCGCCTTCTCCACACTTCTATATATACATCCATGCCTAGATACAGATATAGTAGCCACAACGGAGAAAGAAAGGGAAAAGAACGTCCGCTCTAATTAATTGTTCTCATGGTTCGGGTTATTGTTCAAAGCACAAAAGGAAATTCTTTCCACAGGACCAGAGTAGCAAAAAAAAAAGCTGAAATAGCAAAAGTTTATAATTAAATAATTAATTAGATAAATCACTTTCGTTTTTTTTTCTTCAACAAAAAGTAAAGTAATTTATAAAGTCATCTACTTATTAGAGTTTTTCACAAAAAGCTTTTTTTACATTTTTTTTATTCAACAACAATAATACTTGCTCATAATCAAAATAAAAAGAAAATGTTCATGAATTTCAGGCAAAAACGAATTTCTGGTCAATAGTAACAATTAATTATTATGAAATATTATTATTAAATTAATGAATATTTATCAAATTTTATTTATAAGAAAATATTGAAAAAAGTTTTCAAAAAACAACTTATATAATCATAAAAATGTTATCAAACAGCTGTTGAAGATTAAAGTAATCTTTATAAAGTTACGAAATACATCGGTTCTTGCTGTATCAGCTGCAGCTGCGAATCTCAAACATTAAACCAAATGGACATGAAAACGCGTATCTTGTTTGCGTCGCGGTTCTAAAACTTTACTCGTATTGGCACGACTTGTCTCGAATTGTCACGACGAATCAGCTTCAGCTGTGAGCGCTAAACAAATCCTTATATGGTTATGAAAATGCGCAACACCTGCGTTACGATAACGATGCGAATACTAAACAAATCCTTATATGGTTCAGAATCTCTGGGTCGAAATTAATGTTATGAAAATGCGCAACACCTGCGTTACGATGAATCATCTGCAGGTGTAATCGTTAACAATAAAGCTGCAGGTGCGAGAGATAAACAAATCCTTATATGGTTATGAAAATGCGCAACACCTGCGAATGATGAATCATCTGCAGGTGTGAATCGTTAAACAATAAAGCTGCAGGTGCGAGAGATAAACAAATCCTAATCGCAAGCTTTATAAACAATTCTTATATGGAAATGCGCAACACCTGCGTTATGATGAATCATCTGCAGGTGTGAATCGTTAAACAAAATGTGTTTTGATTCAAATAAACTCAAGAATTAATCAATTGAAAAAGACCTTAGACTGTAATTTTTACACATCTTTTTTTATTCATAGTTTATTCGCATTTCTAAAAAAGCGGAACATTTCCGATGATATTACTTTTTTTAAGTATTTACTTTACAACAATTAATGTATCCACAATACCAAAATTTCTTCGAAAGCCGAATCGTTATATAACACAAGCTCATCTGCGACGTCGCAAAACTAATTAGGTATGAATACTAAACAAATTCTTATATAGTAACAAGAACGAGAATCGACGAAAAGTCACGAAATCGTGACGATTGGTCAAAACCAATCCTTTTATGGTTACGAAAACTGACGACACGACAAGTCTTGCAATTGACTGACGTTACTATTATTATATCAGTACGATTATTGCGTTTTGTTTCAATTTTTTTGATAAAAAATCTAGTATTCCTATATTTAACGAATTACATTGAAATTCATATATAAAACCGGTTTTGATATAAATTTTAATTGAAAGGTTCCAATTTAATGAACGTAAACTGATAACGTAGGATTATAGTTGTAATTCCTCTTTCGTTTTATACTCGTTATGCATTGATGAACGACCGTTTTTCATTCAGCAATACACATCACAGATGAATGCGTGCGTAAATTCACCCTGTATTCGTTAAGCTGAGGTAAAAGGTTGGGCAGTTTGCTTTCTATAATACACTCAACCCTTAAAATGGTAAAAGTGTTTATTAACGTTTATTATTCCTATTCTTGGTGGATGCGACGGGGACGGGAAAACTCCCTTTTCTTCATTCTCACTCCTTCCCTTCACACAGAGTCACAGTCCGCCGCCCCCATTTACTTTTATAAGGGGGCGAGATAAGCCGCACGGAACTACATTAGACACTATTTATTTCCATTCGAGGGCAGATCTTTCGACCGGAAAGCTCAATCTTTTCTTTCTTTTTTTTATATATATTAGAAATAAGCGGACAACGCCTCGATCTCTCCTTGTTTTATTTTTCAGCTACTCTTCTTCCACGGTATTTACATCTTTCCCCGCACAAAACCCCACCGCAAAGCACAATGAAATAAAGCGCAAACCGAAGCAGGCTCTTAGTGCGAGATCGACCGATATTTTATACGCTCGAGGAGGAACCCCAACATCATTATTTTTTTTGCCCTCAGTTATCCTCCTTTTTTTAACCCGCAGCAAAAGGCAACTTATATTTTTTTTTATTTTGTATAAAGAAGGGAACGTCTTTCAGACGGATCCCAAAAGGATAACGTTAACATACACGAGACAATATTGAATACAAATTGAATTTTACAACATTTCAATACAATAATAGTTATGATTATTACTTTCTAAATTTTTTGTATTTTTCATTGCTAAATATTTACTTAAAAATTATTCTAGAAATATATTCAATATTTTCTAGAATTTGTAATTTTTTTTGAAATATTTATGATTCAGTTTATAAATTGGACAAAGTTTCTTATGAAAAACATTTAAAAAAAGGAACGGTTGTCTCGTTTTTTCAGTAATTAAATCATAGCTGAAGATCTCACCTTTCCAATGCGCCTACATACATCTTAGTAGTGTCATCGAGTCGCCTGCTATAAGCTGAAGAACATTTTTTTCTCATTTTTTAATCAGTTTTTACATTTTTTCGTGATTTTCTCGACAAATCCTTAAGATAGTTACATCATCGACCAGTCGTATGAAAGCTGAATATTAGTGCTGTTATCGAGTCGCCTGGTAGAAATTGAAAAAAAAAACACGTAATTAACGTCTTATACGTAACAGACAAATTTTCTGAAATATTCACGAAATTTTAATGATTTAAATAAAATCTAAATTTCTCAAGCAAATATAAACTTTCACAAAATTAATACTAAATTTGTCTAAACATTTCTCTAATTATTACGTTAATATATATGTAAATTATAAGAATGTAGGAGTATTTTCACAATAAATTTTGTTCATTATTTCTTCAATTCCAAGTGGGTTTAAAATAAAGTGCTGATCTAAAATCTACATTTATTATACAGAAAAAAGATATGAGTTATAGAAAAACCAGTTGAAAACGTTCCATCTTACATATTTTATACATATTTTATGTGGATTTGGATTTACTTTTTCCCGAGTTTTCGCCTGCACATTCGGACATCTTTTCAGAGATAGTCCGAACTCCGCGCTCGCAGCTTTGATACTTCTTCATCCGTGTAGTAAAGCTTTGCACTTCAGGTCATCCGAAAGCATCAAAAGATGGACCACAAACGCGTGCAATTAGCCAACTTACTGTAGAAAGAGAGAGAGAGAGGAAAAGAGGAGTAGAAAAGGGACAACCAAATCCCAATTAGTGATGTATAAAAAAAAGACGATTGATGCTCTATTTTACAAGTTATTAAGCACCGCAATTATTGAAGTTTTAATTACAATTTATCCAAACACAAATAATAATTAGGACGCATTCCTCTCATTAAACAATTTCCATCCTAATTGCGGTTTAATAATTCTACAGAATTATGTTTGTTTAATGCATATATTATTTTATATATTCAAGCAATCAATTTTCAATGTAATTTTTATATACAAATTAATATATTTCGATTCACTTCTTTTACACGCTATAAACTTGTTAAATGACATTTTTATTACATTTAAAAAAAAAATACCTCGCATAGTCCGGTTTTCGTTAGTTCCGACATTTTGAAACAATCTAAATCTAGTAAAAAAAAAAGAATAGTATACGTTTTGTGCTGTTTATATTTAGTTCCTCGATTAGTCCGATTTCAAATTGAAATATTGAGTTTTATGTACAAAAGATTTATATATTTTTTTTAATGATTTCGATCTGCTACATTCTTACAATTATAATTACTTTAATTATCTAAATCACATAACTTTACTCTCTTTTTTTCTTTAAAAAAAAACTGAATATGCATCAAAGATCAATCGACTTGCAGCTTCTTGAAGTTGCCATGGAAACCAAGCAAATCGTCGTTGACGAGTTTCGAGGGTCTCTTGGATTCATCTACTCTCGCCTGAAGGACCTTCATTAAGTACTCTTCATTATCCTTATACATTTTCTTCACATCATCTGCACAAACAAAAAGTAAAACAGTTATAAAAAAAAAATAGATTTTAAGCAAATGAAATTGTACCTTTAATTTCCAACAAAGATTTTCCAGTACCACCAAAATCTGAAGGTAACTCATCTTTATCGTAGTGTTCGAGAAGCGAATCGTAGCTTTTATGGATTATGATCTAAAGAAAATTTAGTAATTTTATTAAGATTATTAAATATGTTTTGTCTTCTTACCCTGTCGCCGATTTTGGATTTCATCAAGGTTTTGGTAAAGGCTACCAAGCTTTCAGCGTACGAAGGTAAATTGATCAAATGCAACGCTGCTACACGGAAGGAGTAGACTTTCTGAAACATCGTGAAATTTTAAATACAAAATTTTTTAAGAAAAATTATGATTTACCTCTATGATCGTGAAGACCTTCTTGATGTCCATTGGGTTATATTTAGTGATGACGCCCATCGTGAAGTTCTTCAGATCGAATATATACTCATCGGAATCGCTGAAGTCCATAGCGGTTCTAAGCTCCAAAAGATGCATCATTATAGCGTACATCGTAGTCACGTTGAAATCCTCAGTTTCTTCCAATCTATAAACATGCACTCGGTTCAAGTTTTTCGTGAGCTTCGGCAAAGTCGCCCAAGTACTACAAAATAAATTAAATATAATCTCCCAAAAACCACTATTTTCTTTACGTTTATTTTACTTAGTTTTGAAGGACGTTTCAATTTCAGGACTCGTAGGTAAAACATTGTAATAATCTGGCACCAAGGTTTTAATAGTATAATTATTATCGATCTTCTCCTTAGTTTTCTCAATGGAAAACTTATTCATCACGAGAAAACACACGATTTGCCTATCAGTTGGATGCATAGGCAAATGCGCCTGCAACTTCAACCATTCCTTAATAACCTTAACATCTTCCTCAACTTCGCTCAATTTCCGTCCACGATTCTCCAAAATCTTCTTGAAATCCTCATCGGTATAATCCAAGCAAGGAGATTTCGCTTTCAAATCGCCTGTAAAAAAAAATTGTAAAACTAAATAATTTGAGCCAATGAAAAAGTAGGCAAAAGTCAAATCAATCAATTTTATTTCGACTTTCTCTTTTGTTGATTGATGGCAATGCGAACTTCATTCAAATAAAAACAGTTAAATTAGATCCTTGAACTTTGAAACTGTTTCCTATTAATATTTGAATAAATGAACAAATACATTTTTCTTTCTCGTGTATATTAATAATGAGGTTTGTTTTCAAAAAATTATCGCGACTGACCTAATAAATATATTGTGTTTTATAAACATTTGCTATTAGTTTGTTTTGAAATTTTCGAAAATGACTATATTTAATCCGTACTGATCGAAACCGCACTCTTCAAGGTACTGTTGTCATTTATAACTATGATCAATTTGTTTTCAGTAAATACATAAATATGATCATAACTTATTACTGTAATTAATCGATATTTTATAGGCAAATTATTAAAATAACAGATCGATGCTTACGTTTATAAATTAGTTTTTTTTAATATTTAAACGACTTTTTATTGTCTACAATTTTATTATTGTAGACAATAAAATTGTTTGTTTTTTCATTCCAAAATAAATTATGAACACTTAATATAAATATGTTTGTGAATCTTTTAAATAAAATCATTTTGTTTTTATTAAAACTAAACATTGTTTTTAACAATTAAAAAATACAATGCAGAGAGCCTTGATAATGATTACTCTGCAAAAACAAAACAAAAAAAAGTTCGTGCAACTTGATAAATTTAATTATAAATGGAATAATTAATAAATCAACTTACGTAATTGCGTTTATGATTTTAAAGAAAATCATTTGTTATAATTACAGAAAACAATTTGAAAATTTGTAATTTCACTCAATGATTATTGGTTAACCACTAAATCATCTTCATTTGAATATTTTATAATATTTCTTAACAATTTTCTCTTTACTTATAACATTTTTTTTTTTTCAAATTTATCGATTTCTAATTTACTCAATATTTTTTATAAAAAAAAACTTCAGATTTTTTTTGTTAACATAGGAGAATTTGTATCCCAAAATTGTAATTTTTTTAATTTAAATTAAGTTTTTCTCCATATTATTATGTAGAAATTTCAGTTTTGAATTCATTGTTATTTTGAATAATTATTATTTTTTTGTAATTAGTAATTTATTATTTGTCCATTACAATTATTTAAAAATTATTATTTATTTAATAGTTTTTTCATCGTGTTTTTACAAATATCAAATTTATTTCTATGAATAAAAATTAGTTTTTTTTTAAGTGCTAAAGTTGTAACGTTATTATCATTTCATTAATAAAACACACATAAAATTGAATTTATAGTATTATTAATACCTGTTTTTGTTGATTTATTTTGAATGAATTAGTTTTTAAAAAAATACTCACAATTCATCTTGCTGTTTTGTTTAGAAAACACTTTGCATCACTAACACCGAAGGTTGCTGGTACCCATATTTATACGATCTTCCAGCTTCCTTACTCCCTCTATATTCTCATCAGAAGAATCACATAACAACATACTCACTCGTGATCCATCATTCAAAATAAAGCAAAGACCAAAACAGATTTTAGGTACTTTTTTTTGCTGACTTTCATTTCGAATTTGATTCTGCCAATCCTAGTTTACTGACCTTCTTAATAATATCTTGCTCACTCCCATATATTAATAATAAAAAAAATTAATACAAAATTTTTGATGCAAAAAAAAAAACAAGTGCATTTTATTAAAAATTACTACAGATTTATTTAATTTTTTTCTTTATCTAAATACTTTTTTAACTAACCACTAATAAATTAAACTTTTATATTAATAAAATTATTGTTTTTTTTTTATTATTTAGATTAAAATGTTATGAAAATCATGAATATGATTGATACTTTAAACCTTGTATTAAGCTAAACTTATAAGAACCGAATAAATCAATCGAAATCTAATTGCTTGAAATTGCCATGGAAACCCAACAAATCGTCATTTGTTAATTTCGTTGGTCTTAGCTCTTCATTTACTCTGGCGCTGAACACCTTCGTTAAGTGATCTTCGTGATCAATAATTAACTCTTTTGTTCCCTCTAAAATCCAAGCAATTAATTAATTAAAGATCAATATTTTATGTTATTTTACCATTGATTTCAGCAAAGCTTTGACCGTTTCCATTAAAGTCTTTGGGAAGTTGATCCACATCGTAATATTCATGCAAACTATCGAAATTTTCATGAAAGATAATCTAAAAAAATATTATAGTAAATCAAGTTATTTTTATTTAAAATTATTAAAATTTTACCCTTTCTCGTAGTTTCGGCTTTAAAAACATTTTAATCAGCTTGATGAATGATAGGGCATGTGATGGTAAATTCACGTAGTGTAAAGCGGCAATACGAGTCGAGTAAACTTTCTATAATAAAAAAAAACAGCTTAAATACTGAACTTTTTGGTACGTTTCAGGTGTTTCTTACTTCCAAAATAGTCATGAACCATTTGACTTTCGTCGGAGTGTATTTTCCGACGGCGGAGAGCGGAAAATACGACATATCGAAAATGTACTCATCCGCATTATTAAAGTCCAAAATAGTTTTAAGCTCGTAAAAGATGCAGCAAATGGTGAAAAACAGTGAAACGTCCAGATCTTCCGCATCTTTCAAACGCCAGATGACGACGCGGTTCAAGTTCTTGGATAATTTCGGTAAAAATCCCCAATTTCTAAATATGTGCAGTTTCATTGAATGAAATCTGTAGTTTTTATAAACTTACGCGAATTTCAGAGCTCTTTTAATGTCCGGATGCGATGCAGGTTTATTGAAAAAGTCAGGTATTAAACCTTTGATAGTGTAATTCGCGTCCAACTTCACTTTAGTGTTTTCTATGGAAAATTTGTTCATTAACAGGAAATAAGCAATTTGCCTATCGCTAGGCTCCAAAGGGATGTGAGGCTGCGTCTTCAACCAATCCTTGATGATCTTGACATAATCAAAAAGCTGATCCACTTTTATTCCGTGACCATTCAAAATCCTTTGTATCTCATCCTCGGTGTAGAACATGAGAGGCGATTTGTACACTAGCACTATTTCAATAATTAGTTAATTCAGTTAACAATAATCGATTTAAGAATAGTTTAACAAAATTGAATTATTTGTAAAAGAGAAATACTAAAAATAACGATTTCTCAATAATTTTTTTAAATTATTTTAGTAAATTGAGTAAAAAATCAAATAATACTTACTATCCATCTTATGGTGATAAAAATAAAACTGCAAATGTTTTGAAACGTTGCAAACTATTCTACTTTATACGTTTCTCTCTCTATATCAAAATGTCTACCATAAATTATGTTTAAAAGTTGTTGGACATGTGCACTTTGTAATTGTTATTTTCAAATGAAATCTTGATTTATTTAGAAAAATATTTTTATTATGTATTCTAATTGTTGAACTTGTGTACTTTCATAAAATATATAAATTTATGTCTAAAAACCACAGTTTGTGAAATCCAATTCAGAAAAAAAAATATATAAATTAATCGAAAATTTATGAAAATTCAATAGGAGACTAACAAATCCAATCACAATACAAATTTGCTTCAAAAACTTAGTAATTTGGTGGTAAAAAGTATTGACTTCTTGTTATTTTCTGCAATTTGTTGTATTATTAATGAAACTTTAATGACTTTACAATTTTGTTCAAACAACTTTAAAATAAATTAAGAAATTAGACTTTAATCATTATAAATAAAACGCAGATTTAAAGGAATCATTGAATTTCAATAAGAAAAAAGAGGTAGTACTAATAATTACATTTAATTGATACAAACAAAAAATAATTGGAATATTGTAAATCATTTTATTTATATATTAAAACATAATGACCAAATTAATTTTCGTTTATTTTTAAAACTGTTTGACCCAAGTGCATAAGATGAAAAATTAATCAAAATCTAGTTGCTTGAAATTGCCATGGAAACCCAACAAATCGTCATTTGTTAATTTCGTTGGTCTCAGATCTTCATTTACTCTGGCGCTGAAAACCTTCGTTAAGTGATCTTCGTGATCCATAATTAACTTTTTTGTTCTTTCTAAAATCCTGGCAATTAATTAATTAAAAATCAATATTTTATGTTATTTTACCATTGATCTCAGCAAAGCTTTGTCCATTTCCTTTAAAGTCTTTGGGAAGTTGATCCACATCGTAATATTCAGGCAAACTGTCGAAATTATCATGAAAGTTTATCTAAAAAAAATGTTATAGTAAATCAAGTTATTTTTATTTAAAATTATTAAAATGTTACCCTTTCTCGTAGTTTCGGCTTTAAACCCATTTTAATCAAATTGATAAATGGTAGAGCATGTGATGGTAAATTCACGTAATGTAAAGCTGCAATACGAGTCGAGTAAACTTTCTATAATAGAAAACATCTTAAATACTGAACTTTTTGGTACGTGTCAGGTGTTTCTTACTTCCAAAACAGTGAAGAACCGTTTGACTTTTGTCGGAGTGAATTTTCCGACAGCCGAGAGCGGAAAATACGACATATCGAAAATGTACTCTTCCGCATTACTAAAGTCCAAAATAGTTTTAAGCTCGTATAAGATGCAGTAAATGGTGAAAATCAGAGGAAACGTCCAGATCTTCCGCATCTTTCAAACGCCAGATGATGATACGCGGTTCAAGTTTTAGATAATTTCGGTAAAAATCCCAATTTCTAAATATGTGCAGTTTCATTGAATGAAATCTGTAGTTGTTATAAACTTAC